AAAAACAAAAACAAAAAACTTGCTGAACATAAGAACTATACAAAATTCTACAACGCTTCCACACATTATCTTTCACCAATCAGAAATAACAGAAGCAGATGTAAACAATCAGAGAACCAGCCCCCACAAAATACCTGTCAATAAGCCTAAAATTTATGCCAGATCTTCATGAATTATAAAAAAATGTATTGAGGGGCTAAAATGAGACATGAATAAATGGAAAAATAATGTGTATGCTTGAGAATACTCAATAAAGTAAAAACAGCAATTCTTTTAAAGTCATTTATAAATTCAATATAATTGCAAAAAAAAACCCAGTATGACCTTTGAAACAAACTAAAAAAATGATCTTACAGCTAATATATCAGTATAAATTTCAGAGGAGCCAATAAAATTTTTTAAAATAATAGAGACTAGCTAGAGCAGGTATCTAAAGATGCTATTAATAATTCATGTAATATGGTGTTAGTACAGGTATAAATCAATAGTCTAATGGAATAAAGCAGAATATCTAAAAGGAAATCTTTGCATTTGTGGAAATTTGTTACATGAAAGAGGAATTTTTTCAGCTCTAATTTTATTTATTTTAAAACTTTTATTTATACATGTTTGAAGGATATAATGATTACATTCATTGTGGAAAATTGGTACATGTATATAACACTTCTCAAGAGGAGGAATATTTACAGTTGGGCAGGTAAATGTTTAAACTAGTAATGACATCAATTTGCTTTTTTCCCCATTCAGACTGACAAATGTTTATTGAGTTCAACAATAACCTCATACAGTTATTTGATTTTTGTTTGTTCTTTTCAGATACTGTTTAAATTTTGTTATTTTTAAATTGACAAGTTATAATGTACACATTTATGGAGTAATGTGATGTGATATTTTGACATATGTACCTAATGCATTACTATTAACTATAGTCCCCTACATTATTATTAACAATGATCTCAAAAATATGTCTAACTGTAACTTTGCACTTGGATTAGTATCTCCGCATTCCTCCTACCCTCTGCCTTGGATAATCATCATTCTGCTTTCTACTTCAATCCGTCAATTTTTCCACTTATATTGGCCCCTGGTCCTCAAATTTTAGTGTGTACCAGAATTACTTGGAGGATTTTTTAAAATAATGATTGCCAAGCCCCATTCTAAGAGGTTATTAGTAGGTTTGGGATGTGATCTATCATTCACATTTCTTACAAGTTCCTACACAGTGTTGATCTGCTGGTTAGTGGTACACACCTTGAAAATTGATTTGCCTCAAATGACATCATCATAGCCTACCTACCTATTTCAACCTAGAAATAGAAATACTGTGAGTAGATTATCTACAGTCACAGGTCTCAGTAAGTCAAATTATTGTGTTTTCAGCTCCACCCTGTGGCTTATTAAGCTAATTGTACTTGTCTTTGATAGTTAATCCTCACTGTCTGATGAATTTATAATGACAGCAAAAAATATAAAGCATCTACCATTATGGTTAACAAAAGATAAGCAAGACTTTTTGCAAAAATTCCAGTTAATTATTTGGAGACATCAAAAGCATATAAATAAGTGGAGAGATATCCCATTTGTAGGAACAGTTGGTCAGATAGACAAAGACACAAATTCTTTCAAAACTGGCTTATACTTTCAAATTATAATAAAAATCCAATGTGAGTGAATGTGTGTGTGTGTGTGTGTGTGTGTGTGTTTGTGTGTGTGTACATGTGTGTTGAGTGGGATGTTCAGGGTGGGAATTTAACAAGCTAATTGAAAATGTTATATGTGAAGAAAGTGGACCAAAAGCAGCTAATGCATTTGCCCCTCAGAAAAGCAAAGAAGGACCTGCCCTGTCCCAGACATTAAGACACAAAATAATGTCATTACCAAGAAGGAAAGACACATTGTTTTTACTTTGGGTTCTTTTGTAAATGGGAGGGGGATCTAGAGATGGAGGGAGTGGAGAGGGAAGAAAGGGCAAGAGGAAATAAAAAGAATTAAGATGTGTTGCCTGATGTGGTGGTGCATGCCTGCAATTCTAGCACTCAGGAGGCTGAGGCAGGAGGATCACCAAGAGTTTGAGACCAGTCTCATCTACCCATAGTGAGCTCAAAGCCACCTTGAACTACATAGTGAGACCCTGTCTCAAAAAGAGAACTAAGATGTATTATGTACATGTACCAACTTCTCATGATGAATGTAATCATTATATACAACAAATATGCCCTAATAAGCATTTTAAAAGGAAAAATACAAATGAAAAGATTGACAGGATTGAGTGAATGTGATTGAAAGAGAACCAAAAAATCAGATTAATGCATACAATGAACTTTGATCTGGAATACAAATAGATTTTCAGATCAGTATGTGGCCAAGAAAAATTCTTACTACAGAAAAAAATC